TGAACATTTCTTGGGAAGATTGCTTGGTGGCTTGAAGGAGGTGAATCAGAGGATAGGGACTAAGTACATGTGATGACTGCAGGCAGGGCTGGAAGAGCAGGTGTGTGCTTATTGCAGTCTACAAGCAGTATGGTGTATTGGACAAATAGGAGAAACAAAGAAAGCCTTACAATGTCTTTGGACCAGAAGGAGAGATCTGTGAAAGTCAGCTCAATTCACAAGGCCACAAGCTGAGGCCTGGTCAGTCTCAGATTGGTCACCTCGTCAAGGGTGTCTGATGTTGAAAGACCACAGATTAAATCACTGATAATGTGTCCAAGAACAGCGAGAGATATACTGCATATGTATGTAATCAGATGATTAACATGGTTCAGTTTTACCACCTTTTCAATAAATGAGCATCTCCTTAGCAATTTTCTTGTCGATAGATATTACTCCATTTTAAGGGAGAGCTCATGATCACTGTTCCGTAATACTTTTCTTTCTTCACTTTTTCTCACTCTATCTTGATCGTTTGAAAAGACTAAGTCAATACAGGTATTCCCTGTAGTAGGTGCTCTGACAAAATGAGTAAGAAAGGAGTCATTAGTCATGTGCACTGTCTCTGGATCTCCTAATGGCATCCCTTTTAGGTTTTTCCCAGTCCACGTGAACAAATTAAAATCTCTTGTAAGAACCATCACTTTACGTACACCTAAGTTTATCATTTCATTACACAAATATGAATTATGATGCACTGTTTATCTGAATTTCGTGGTCTGTAGCCTACCTGTAATGCCATGCATTTTGAATGTTTTTTTTAAGTCTGAACCATTCTAATTTCTAAGACAAACGATTAATCCAGGTTATGATCCTGTGCCTGAATGTTCTTCTTGATGTATAACGCTGTACAAATAATAATTTCCTGGTCCTTTGAAGTTCTGTTATTTTTTTCTTAGGTTCTCTTTTTGGTATTAATCCTTATGTATCTCTCTTGCAATTTTTTTTGTATTCTCCCATGTTCCATTGTAATTTAAATGGTTTGGAGTTTTTTTATGATTGCTAAACATTTTATGATTGTTAAACAAAGTATTGAGTCAAAACAAATCTTCATACAGTATCTCTTGATTTCCAAGCCATATCCCATCATGGAGAACTAAAGGCATTTCTGTGCTATCAACCACGTTTCCTTAATGGTATTTAACTTATTGTAGCTAGAAACCAAACATAATTTTTGTTTGCTCAATTTTTAAATGTCCTGAAATAAATACATAACTTACAAAAGGGTTCCATTGTATAAGACACGTAGATGTATAGTACTACTGTATAAGAGTGCAATTTAATGGAAAAAAAAGTCCTCATGGATGGATCATGCATCAGCTTCCAAAAGAAAATTATATTGCCACCTGATACAAAAAATATTTTTTGTTCTAATCATTGGTTTTTGTTTACTTGCCTTTTTTTCTTTTTGGTTCTCGCTTTTTGTAAGTTTTTGTAAAAGACCTTCACAAATGAAATAAATGATTTGTATTACTAATAATACTAATACTACCACAAAAGAGCAGTGAATAAGTTGAACTTTATTTTTTTATTTGACTAAAGTATAACAACATTTGTTTATTACAGTCCATATTTCTTCACAACATGCTTCTGGTTGTGAAAATTACAGAAATCACACACAACAGTAAAACACTAAATCGCAGTATATTTCTTCTTGTTGGCAATTTGGTAGAAAATAAACCCAATGGTTTGAATTTAGGTTTGCTTTGCGCATATAATCCAAATGCCTACAGTGCCTAAACAAGCTCAGTCAGCCATATAAGAGTACAAAAGTGAACAACATTTGAAAACAAAGAAAAAATGATTGCATCAATTTTAATTAATTAGTCTTTTGGGTGTTACTACAAGGCCTTTAAAGTTTTATGGATCATGCACAAATATCTTGGAATTATCAAAATGTATAAGGTAGGGAAACAGGTAAATGTATATCTTACCTTTCATTAAATTTGGAGGAATGATTACATGTCTTGTGTTCCATTCTTTTTTTTTTTCTGGGGGTGCTGTTGTTCTGTAACACTGTATTAAATGTAAACTTCAGTGGTTTCTTTGTCAGGTGCACCTGTAGGAGATCAATGACATAATGAGGCACACACACCTCTCTGCTGCATAACCAAGAAGTGTAGTCCAGATCTGTCACATGTGTTTAGTCCAGATCAGTCACATGTGTATTAATTTATGATTGGAACACCTTCTACATGAAGGAATATCTGGTTTGAACTGTGCTGAACAGCAGTTGTGTGATGGAGTATAATTAATCATCAACTGACTGCAGTAACAAAATTACAACCCCCTAACATCATTACATTTGCACAACGAGCACCTTTAAATTAAACAAGAAATCACTATTAATCAATACAAACTCAGCTACTGTGCATCTCAGTCAGCCATTAATTACATAATGGACGATCTTCCTACACATACATTCCTGCATCCATGATTTAGGAAATTGGAGACCACATTCTGTTACTAAAATATATTCTAACATGTTCATATTTGTGATTCTATGAGTATTTCCAACGGAAGGGACAATTAAATTAACTCACATTTTAACGTATTAATAAACAATTATTTTAAATACCATAGATAAAAACTATTTAACATATTTGAAAGTGTGGTAGTTTTTTGTGCTGCTGTTTGTGTTGACAGAAACTACAGTATATAAAACGTTTATACCCTATTCTTTACTACACAGGTTGACTGGATTTACAAATAAACTGAATGTTTGTACTGCAGAAATTGAGTTTTAAAAAAGAATCACAATAAAATTAAGCTTAACTAAGACTGTGTACTAAAGTTAGGAAAGATCATTTTTATCTTAATGTACAATTAAATATAAACAAATAAAAGTTCCATTACATATACAATTAGATGGTTTAATTAAAGAAATATGCTGTATGGTAAAACATACAGTGCAAATCATCAGAACTAAACAAGAATTTGAGGAAAAAATTACTTGTATATTTGTACATGATCTTCTAACGGTAGTTATTTTTTTGTGAAAACTTATGAGTCAGAAAGAACTGTTCCTCTGATGAGGCATTTTCACATTAACTTTTGTATATTTAATACATTTTCACCCATCGCAATTCATCGGTTATTCCATATTTAAACATTTAAACATTATTCAACTAGATTCAGCACTAAACCCTTATCGGCCATAGAGAGCGAAAGATACATATGAATGAGATAGGGTATATAGATATTGAGATATACAGTAGCTGATCACTTCTTCCCACATTGACATTTTGCGCAAAAATGTTGAAGAAATAAAATAGTTTCACATAAAGTTGTAATCATATGTAATAATAACACTATCCACAGTCCCCATACATACAATATTTCCCTTTATACTTTGCAGCATTCTGTAAAGATAAATTACATTAGTAAAAAATAAATGGGTAAACCATATAAATCTTATGTGCTTGTAGACTGCACAAAATCCTAAAAATCTATAAAGGAAGCAGTTGGGGCAAAGATTAAGACATAAGTTAATGTTTAATTGCAATATACATAAATATTCTTGTTCTCTTACGCGTACAATTAATACGCAATGATACTCATAATAAAATATTTTGGTGTGTTTATGAGAATGAGTGAAGGTGTTTTTAAGAGTTTATCTTTAGCAGATTGACCTTGTTAAAGATAAGAAGTGTTTGTGACTTGGGGCTCCCTGAAGGTCATATTCAAGGTGAAATTCCTTGTGAATCTGATGTTGGCGGATGTCATAAATGTCCATACTATATACTTCTGTTTAAAAACCATAAACGCATAGTAAAGCATAACTGTTTTAAAAGGAAATTTAGCCCTGACATTCATGTGTAAGCTACATGCAAGAGTTTGTCCTTCACTTTTATGCGTATTTACTGTACAATCACAGTGCTGACTGAGCTAGACATTAGTGCTGGTATAAATATCTCAGTGAAAAAGATTATCCCTGTTAAAAATCAAATGACACCCTGTTCGTATTGTATAATGTCCATATCTATCTAAGAACTATTGTTAGTTGACTGCATTTTCAAGTAAAATAACGCAGCTGCATTAAAATAATAGAGTAGTTAATGGAATAGCTCATTTTTAATGACCTTATCTATTGTGAATTATCTTACCCTTACCCAGGTATCCTAGAATATCCCGATCCTTTAAACAATCTAGAGTGGTTTACACATATAGAGTATATCTATATACTCTATATGCAAAAGATAAACAAATCTCAAACACTTATTTTTCTGTATCAGGGTAAAAAATATGAAGTCCATCTAAAGATATAAAGATATGATAAGTATAATATTTTATTACTAAACTAATTCAATTCAATGGAATCTTACTTTTAAATGGATAGAAGCAAATTGAGTTCTGGAATAACTCTACAATCGCATTCCCATACAGTATATTTGTAAAAAAGCAAACGGTGGTGTAAACAGAATATATTTCTAAATCCAATCAAACCTCCAAACAGTCTTTTTTATGAAAAGAAGGTACTGCGAAAGATTGACTCCGAATTTTAGTGAGTAGATTTGAAGAACAATAATATAATAAAAGTACTAGTGTAGTAAATATTTTTACTGTGTATATAAAGTGGTATGCAGTAAATATAATAATCTTTGGATTTTAAATATTACATTTACTGGAAAATAACATTTTATTTTAGTCAACCAATATATTTGGATTACATTTTACATTCTACATTAGGCATCCTAATACATATACAGTAAATTGTATTTTATTTGACAAAATCATGTTTTGTTCTTTTCTTATGAAAGTTTTTTTTTAATTGGATATTGTCCCTTTCATTAACATAATTACTTTAATAATTGGGCTTTGGAAAGGCAGCCAGAGAACCCCCTGTAGCCTCTCACAATAAAGTGTGGTTCTTCAACTTTGGACTGACACATCTGCATGACACTCTGATCAGGAGGATTCCAGGGATCAGCGTTCTTGACGTATCAACGAAATATTTAGTGCATTCAAAGCAGTGGGCTGACTCTATAGCAATAGTATGTATCTACGTTGCTTCTTTCTGTTCCTTTGCATAACCATCTCTGAACTCTCCCATCCAGGACTCGAATGGGAAGCCGAAAAGGAGGTGAGAATTGAAGCTATCAGGAGAGGCATTCTGGAGCAGCTTGGCTTGACGGAACCTCCATGTGTGGAGAAGAAAGTGAGCAGAGCTGAGGAGGACAGAGTCTACAGTACTTACCTTCAACAAATAAGACAAAGAACCAGAAACACATATAGGGACCACAGTGACAAAGACAGAAGAGGCAACCACATTTTTCTGGTTAAAGGTAAGTTAGCGTACTTGAATAAAGGAGAAATGAAGTAAAGGACAATTACTTGTTAATGTTCCATCTTTGAAATAAACACTTCCCCAGTGATGTGAGATAATCAAAGGCAGAGGCCGTATATACCGTATTAAGAAGGTGACTTTTCATCTTCACAATCCTTTCAAATGATCAGAATTTGGTGTTCTGGTATGAACTGATGAAACAAACTAAAAGTAAATAACCACATAAACGTGATAAATTTTGATCCTTTGTACACCAAGGACTCTTTAAATGAGACTGTAAAATAGACTGTAAATGAATAGTATCTTATTTTTGGGAACATTACAGGAAATCAAATAGCAATTAAAGAAATATGGGGCAACTTTGTGTTTCTGTCTGATATCTTTATATCTGTTAGCCCATTTAGTATGAATTACAAGTCAATACTGTATGTAGTTAAAAGTATTATAAATAACTAGGAAAATAATAACTACAGCTTTTTTGGGAATTAAATTATTTTTACAGTGTATAATTATACAAAAAAATGTCATAATATTCCAACAAAATCTAAAACTACTGTACAAATTACATGTATTGAAATTAGAATTTCCAATGGTGGGAAAGTTGAAGAATTGTTTTAAACTAGGTCTAAGTTTCAAGAAACAGACTAAGGTTTAGAGAGTCTTAAAAATGCATCTTATCTACCCTGTTTGAATAACAGTGAATAGGATTACTGAGGATTACTTAAAGATTCAACAATTGGGACTCAGTGCCTGAACTGGACTAGAATGTCTGTCTTCTGTGTTTTTCTGATGTATTGAAAGAGAACAGTGTCAGATAAACCCAAAAAATCAGAAAGTGGTACTCCAGTACATATTACAGAAGATATTGTTTAGGTGAAACACTACAAAGATCCCTGAGAGACCATTCTACAGTAAATGACATAGTGCTGTGTCACCAGTAACCTACTGCAATCAAGGACCATGACACATTTGTAAATGATTTATTTGAGATTATCTTATCAAAGCAAATTCAATCGGAAGCTTGACAAATGACTTTAGCGTTTAGTTGTTCAGTAATGGTTGTTTTCGTAGGTGAGCTACAACCTTTTCCCTTCAGACTTTTCATTTAACTTTTCATATAACCAGAAACATAACAGCAAATCTTACCCACGATATCACATATATCACAATATTCAGAGTTTTGAATGTCATGCAGTTATTGTCCTATACAGAGCAGCTGAATATATATATTTTTTACAGATCATAGTTCTTTTCAGTCACAGATCATAATAATTTCTATCACCACTACACTTACAGATTTTGTTTCACATTAAGTGTATGACGTGCTCTGCCTTCTCAATGCAAATAAGTTGATGCCTGCTTTCTTTTTGCTCTTTGTTTTATACCGGATAATCTTGTCTTCATTTACTTTTGATATTATCGAAAAGTCTTTTTTTCATTTTAAGGGTATGTTTCTTCCTAGGAACAATATTTGAAGACAAGAATCAAAAACAAAGGAAAGGGAAGAACACCCAAAGGTTTATTTTTGACCTAGATGTACAGAGACACAAAGGCTTCCGAGTGAAAAGAGCATTGTTAACGCTGGCTATAAGACAGAAGGGCAGAAGAAGATTCAATGCTGTACTGAGGATTGAAGTCTATCAAGTGCTTAAAGCCAGCCTCAAAGGCAGGGATCCTCACCGCCTTTTTGTAACGGCAAAAGTAAGCAGACCACAGAAAGCTGTTTACACAGAGAAATTTGACATTGAGCAAGCTATTAAACTTTGCCTAGCACACCCAAAGGACAACTGCAGCCTTGAAGTAGTGTTTTCCCATGATATCATAAAGGATCCAGTTGGGGCAAAACTGAAACTAGAAGGATATACGGCCATAAAAAGGAGTAGAGCACGTAGGCATGCCACCCCGGACGACTGTAATACAAATCAGAGGCAGTGCTGCAGGAAGACGATGCAAGTGTCTTTCGAGGAAATCGGATGGGCAGACTGGATTAGAGCACCTAAAGGATACAATGCATATTACTGCGATGGAACCTGCCCACCTAAGTACAAAACAGTCAATGCTTACACTGAAATCAAGTCCAAAATGCATCGTCTCTCAAACGGCATCATTCCTGGACCCTGCTGTGTCCCTATGGCTTATGAACCGTTAACCATAATGCACCTGAACAGTGAAGGCAAATTAACTATTTCCACACTGGAGGATATAATTGCTTCTAGCTGTAACTGCGCTTAATTTTATAGCTGAATGATACAGTCACTGAAAGCAGCACATGTACTTATTTTGAAACATACAGGATACAACACTGGAGACATAGTACAATGTGGTCTATTTTCTTTAATATTCATAATCTTATAAATCATGTGTATTTTTATGTGAATTGTATATTGATCAAAACATTTTTTCCTTAAAGTATATTTTTATTTTTTTACAATCCATTTTGTATTTATTCCTATTTATTTTGTCTTTGTAAAATTATAAAAATTGAAAATGATTGACATTTAATTTTTTTTTAATCTATCTTCTATTGTTTTATTTTTTAACAGGAAACCTATTTAAGATGAGTTTCACTAGCAGTTAGACTAAAAGAAGTCTTCAGTAACACTTAGGAAATTGCTCCTATTCTTGCTTATCGTAATGATGATGTAGCACATTGGTAGTGTACACAAATGGTGATCTGGACATTTTAAGTTTGTATTTGAATATTTTAGTATAATATTGAAGTTTGAATGTGTCTTAAATATAGATAATACATACCTAAGAACTTTATTAGTTTAGTCTTTGCTAAGTTTTCAATAAAAAAAAACAATAAATACTTTAATTTAGGAACTGCCAGAAATACAGCATAAGGAAATATTGAGAAACATACTGAATACTGGAAATTTCTATGAACCTACTGTTAGAAGTTGTGCTGACCTATAAACATTATTTACATACTGTAAAGGTTAAGCAAAATGATTTACCTTAGTCATGGAGTTTCTTAAAAATGAATTTAACATGAGTTATAAAGTGGTCTATCCAATGAAAGTGTTTAGTGCAAACAAGATTATTTTCAAAATGAATTGATCAAGAAAAGTGAAAGAGAGTAGCTCATCAATACAAACCTTCAAACCATTGTCAAAATGATGTAGCAAAAAACAGCACTGCCAACTTGCAAGACTTTAGACCACACGGTGACATCAATCTGTCTTGAAGAGGAGTTTCAGCGACTTATAGGGATTCTATTCTTCTATTTCTATTTCAATTCTAGTACAGAGAAGAAATTATCAATGATTCTAAAGTTAGTGTTCAAGTTCTAAAACAGGATTTCCATCAATGCCATGACCATACAGTGCACTAACAAGCTAAAAAATCTATCCACCCATTTTCTAGCCACTTCTTCCAATTCAGAGTTGTGGTGGAGCCGGAACCTATCCCAGCAAGCAATGGACGCAAGGCGGGGCTAGGAACTCCACTAAATAAAAAAAAATCTATTGTGTGATCCATTACCGTAATTGGCTCAAACTGAATGAGCCATGTTACATGTGTACCTTTATGGTTTAAGGTTTGTACAACTAGATGACAATTTAACACTCCCACACTCCCACTCCACACTACCAGTTAAAGCATCTTTGATTTAACCTAGACTGTTACCTAGGAAAGGAATAATCTGTTATACTCTGTGTTTTACCAAACTAGAATACAACAATTCACACAATAACAATTTACCCCATGTAACATGGTTAAAAGGTAGATACACACACATAATTGTGTATAATTGACATGAACGTATTGTAGCAACAGATGGTGTGTGGTTTTCTTTAGTACATTTTCAGTGTACTATGGTGGAGCAATGGATTAGTATTCACGTCAGTACCCAGGCATGCCCAGGGAAGCTAATGATCTGGCTAAGAGACTGAATTCTAAGAGAAGCTTCAGGAGAAGAATCTCAAAGAATCCTAGTCTAGGTCCCAAAGCCAAGATGATTAATGAGAAGCTTATCACTGCCGGGCCAGTTCTCCTAATACTTCAACTAAATAGTGAGGGCCTGTCAGTAGCCAAGCGCAGCCTCATCAAAGTCCTTGCTGCCCAAAGCACAACTGAAATCATCTGCATGAAGGAAACCCACATTGGAACAGTAGTGGCAGGTCAACACTCCATCAAAGGTTATGCTATCACCCACAGGCAAAACATGGCTGAACTGATATTGCCCAAACAACCCATCTGGCAGAAACAACATGTTCTAACCTCACAGGGGTTGGTGGCTTCCATATAGCCAATGGTTATAAACCTTCCAGTTCCAGCTGGAAACAGAAATAGCTGCCTTCCCTGCCTCCACCTAGTTGGTGAGGTACTTATGGGCTGGGAAGCAAGAAATTAATTATTCAGGACCCCAAATAACAAGGGATATTCCATTCATCCAGATGGAACAGAGAATACTTTCCTTACCACAAAAAATCCAAACAATGCTGCAACAGACTATTCAGAGTTCACCTCAGACAAGAAGTAAGTACATGGAAACAAGACAAATTGACTCCCTCAAGGATCAGTATTGGCTCTCACCCTGTTTAAACAGGACAGAAATGATATCTCAAAAACTGTATCCTGAAAGTTGACACCTGTCTGACAACATACAGTAAACCCCAAATTTCGACACCTTGGACTGGGTCCTAAATGAGGACATAGGACATGTCAAAACTTGAACAGTTCTTCAACACAACACACAATACAAACAAAGCCCACAAAACAGTATGCAGTTAATCCAACAGCTTATCATTCAGATGAACAATCAGAAAATGCAGCACCATCATCTTCCAACATATCTTGGAGCGACCCTAGACAGGATGCTTCTGGGACCAAAGTCTCCAGCAGCCAAGGTGAAAACAAAGAACAAAGTGATCTACAAACTTGCTTGTACTATATGGGGCAAAACATCTACCATCCTCCAGACGTCAGCCTTTTTACTGTCTGTCTTAGCAAAATAATATAACCCTGTCTGCTCACGATATCATATAATCATCATATACAGTACTCACAGAGTAGACACTCAGCTGAATACCATCTTGCACATCATCACTGGAACTCTATACTCCACCCCACTCTCCTGGCTCCCTGTCCAAGCAAACGTCACTGCTGTACACACCTGACAACTTGCAATAACCCACAAAATACTCAAAAGGGTCCAAAACGCTCCTCCTCTGCCAGTTCACAAGGACATATTTAATTCACAAGAATGTCCTTCAAGAAAACCAATCTGGAAAAACCCTCGCTAACAAGACTGCAAAGCAAACTCCTTCTGGGCTCAAGAATGGGAATCACTGGACTAAACAAACAAGCACCTCATCATATGCCCGACCCAACAACCTTCTGAATTTCACATTCTAAGAAAATGGTGGTCCACTCTCAGCAGCTTTAGGACATTTTCAAGTGTAATTCTGGAGTACTGTAAAATTAATTTCACATTTTATTCCTGAATCACTGAATTCACCCTGTGTAGAGGCGGTAATAACCTCAACACGATGTAGACATAGAGAGACTGGGAAAGAATGAAGCTGCTATTAAATCTTGGCATTAGTTTTCTTTATTTTAGCTATCCAGAAATTAGTATCATTCATCTCTGCCTCATGACTCTATTGCTTTCCCACAACCTTCTTGAAGAGTGAATCGAATGTCTTTGGAAGCTGAAAAAATGTCCTCTTTCACATTTTCCACTTACCAGTAGTTATAATAGTAGTTAAATAGGTACTGTATGACTCTAGAGTCATCAGAAGCCTGATTTTATTCCATGTCCATTTCTATGCAATTTGTGACAGGAGAATAGTTTATTGCTGATGACTCTGACAGTGTAAACTGAACTTATCTGAAATATCTTATAATTGAACTCATACATCAGAAAGACCACCGAAACTAAAATTATTCTGCAGCTAGGATCACACATTCTCCCTTCCCTTAACGACAGATTACTGTTCTTTTAAATTTTCTCAATTCATTGGAAGTTTCATTTCACACCTCTCTGCACCCATTCTGGCTTCACACCTCTTGATTGGCCTCTCTTTCTGTCCCCTGCTCCCGCCTCTCACTCCTCCTCCCTCCCAACCTTTGTTCTCCCGCTACTTTACCTTTGCCTACTGCCCTGTCTCTATCACACCTGAAGAAGGCTCCACGGCTGAAACGTTGTGTTCTCTTTCTTCTTTTTTTCAGCATGGAATAAACCTATTACTTGTTCCTTTGCAGCCTACGCATGCTGACGCAGCTACCCACCTGAACTATCTTATAATTGTACTATTTTTTCATGCCGTTCATCAATTTACACAAGTGCTGTTTACCGGCACAGTTAATTAATTTGGAATAAGCCATTCTGATTTCCAGGTTCCTTATTAAAATACACATCCATTATTTTATGTACTATGAGTATGCCTATGCGTGGGCAGGCAAAGAGATCTCTCTGTATCAAATGTAGGTTGATAGGCTGTAGTAGTTCCATTAGTTTCAGAGGCACAATTTTCTACAAACATAACACTACACTAATGTATAGCTGGTGTGTCTTACTTGGTAAAAACAGAAAAAGACATGAAGACATAGGGATACATGCGATGCTCTTTCCTTGCACTTTTTTATGTAGAGATGTTTTTACCTTTAGTCACAACACCACCTTATGGCGGACCAAAGAAAAAACGTATTTACATTTATCTTCTATCTAGATTAAAGGGTTTCTCCTATGACTGAGAAGAATCAAACAGACATGTACCGGGTGTCTTTTTTATATATTTGTTTTCTCAATACTTTCACTGTTAAAATAAAAGCAGAAAAATAAGTTGGTTGGATTAGTCCAAATTGTACCTGCTTGTTTCAATTTTCAGATCCTAGGAGCTCACCGTGTGAAGCAGTTTCATGTCATCATAGAGGTTTAACTACATGTTTTGGCAGAAATTACTGCAGCCGTTGAATACAGAGAATGTGGTTCAGAAATACAATCAGAATGTGTCTGCAAAGTTCATGATGTCTGACACTCTAATAAGAAAGAGTAATGATATTTCTTATATCAATAGTAGCTTTTTCTTTTTTGATCAAACTACTGCAGAAAAAAAAGACTTTCGATGTTTCAAATAAAGTAACAGAATATTGGAGTGTGAGAATAAAAACCATCTTTGACTCAGTAAAGCCAATACCAGAGTCACAGCAGGCCAGAGCTCATCTAGGCTTCTGTAACTTAACAGTATGTGACTTTCCCCCTCTGGATGAGACACTGGGATTGCCCCCAGGAGTGCTGGTCACCACATACAGTATACAGCCAGGTGGACTGGAGCAACCGTGGTATGGTATCTCACTCACCATACAGTCT